GTGAATTGTATCTTAAGAGGAAAAAAAACAGGGAGACTGTATCTCAAAATCAATGAAAGAGAAACTTTTAAAAGAAAAATGAAAATAGGCCAGTGGTAGAAACTAGGGGGAAGAAAAGTATGTAGGATTTGGGCATTATAAGAAGGAAGATTAAACCAAAACATGATTCCATGTGTCAGCACTTCACAGAGGGATGGGTCCCTGAGAACCTCAGCATTATTTCCATAGTAATGCTAAGATACTGGTTCCCTTTTTCACTGTTGACATTTGCAGTGGCGGTGCAAAAGTGTTGGTGGGCAAGGCTGCTGGGGCCTCAGCACGAGTCAAGGCAGGAGTACCAGGTGGCACCAGCAGTCACTACGTTCTTCACTGCCCTGTGCTCACAGTCCAAAAAAAGCCCCCATAAAAACATAAGATTCAGGAACAGCTTGTAGGAGAATACATTCCAAAAGATGGCACATCTCTGAAAGGGTGACAGGGCAGACCTTCTCCAAAGCCTGCTGAGCTGAGCAGCAGCCAAGAGCAAGGTTGGTGTTTACACACTCAAATTCAGCCCCGGTTGTCACAGCAACTCTGCCGGCACAGTTCCTTCTTCCCTTTGCGGCTTCATTCCAGGCTTTGCTGTTCACTGTTGTATAATCTTAATGTGCCTGGTAATCTGCCTGCTGCATTCTTTCTGTTTTTCAGCCAACTGCTCCATCTTCTTATCATGTGTTTAGCAATGTGCATTAATACTTCACCCACCTGTGTGGAATGACAACCTCCACTCCCCCAGATGCCGCCTGAAAATAGGAGAGAGCAGAAAGGGCCTTGAGCAGCCAGGGCACCTGTCAGCAGGGCTATGATCACTAAGACTATAAGGAAAGCCCCCAAGGCCCTCATTCTCATCTTTTTTTAACACACCTTTAAAACAAACTTATGGTTTCTAAGGCCTGCAGTAAGTTAAAAGCAGGGAAAGGAACTATTCTTGGCAGGCACCTGAACACTCAAGAAGTGATTGTTGATCCCTGAATAGCAAAGAAGAGGACATAAAAGCTCTAAGAAACAAACACAAGAACTCAAGAATACAGGATGGTATGGGCCCAATTAGGGTCAGACCAAACCATTTTATACACCTCCACACATCCTAAAGCCGTCTTGACTTTACTCTAGAATAATCATGACCCAGCTCACCAAGGAAATGTTAAAATTATATTCACCTTAAGGAGGCAGAGTGATGCATGTTCTGTTTCTTAATTTCAAGCATTTCAAATGGTTAAGGGTTTTAGTGCTTAAAGAGAGAAGCTCTTAACCATCCAGAACTTATTTCTCAGCATTCTAGATAATGAAGATCTACTCTATTTATTATTTCTCTTCATTTGTATACCCTGCCACATCTCTGACATCAAATGTGATTCCCACTCTTCCAACACCAAACGCAATGGTGTATTTTTCCCCTACATGCATGTATAACAATAACAATATTATATGCAGCATTAATAGTATTGTAACTCCATTCGGGTTCCTGGGCCCAATTCCAATGTGTGTAAGTGTGTGGGAGGGGGTTTTCCCACACATACTGACACCAGGCAATTCTCAAGCACCAGCAGGATGTTACAGAGCTCAACTCAATTCTGATGTTATCTACCCGGAGGCAGCACACCTAATGGGCAGAGGAGCTGAACAGACAGTTCTCCAAAGAAGAAATTCAGATGGCCAACAGACACATGAAAAGATGCTCTACATCACTAGTCATGAGAGAAATGCAAATAATTAAAACCACAATGAGATATCACCTCACACCAGTAAGGATCGCCACCATCCAAAAGACAAACAACAACAAATGTTGGCGAGGTTGTGGAGAAAGGGGAACCCTCCTACACTACTGGTAGGAATGTAAATTAATTCAGCCATTGTAGAAAGCAGTATGGAGGTTCCTCAAAAAGCTCAAAATAGAAATACCATTTGACCCAGGAATTCCACTTCTGGGAATTTACCCTAAGAATGCAGCAGCCCAGTTTAAAAAAGACAGATGCACCCCTATGTTTATTGCAGCACTATTTACAATAGCCAAGAAATGGAAGCAACCTAAGTGTCCATCAGTAGATAAATGGATAAAGAAGATGTAGTACATATGAACAATGGAATATTATTCAGCCATAAGAAGAAAACAAATCCTACCATTTGCAACAACATGGATGGAGCTAGAGGGTATTATGCTTAGTGAAATAAGCCAGGCGGAGAAAGACAAGTACCAAATGATCTCACTCATATGTGGAGTATAAGAACAAAGGAAAACTGAAGGAACAAAACAGCAGCAGAATCACAGAAGCCAAGAAAGGACTAACAGTTACCAAAGGGAAAGGGACTGGGGAGGATGGGTGGGAAGGGAGGGAGAAGGGCAAGGGGAGAAGAAAGGGGGCCTTACAATTAGCATGTATAACGTGGGGGGGGCACAGGGAGGGCTGTGCAACACAGAGAAGATAAGTAGTGATTCTACAGCATCTTACTACGCTGATGGACAGTGACTGTAATGGGGTTTGTGGGGGGAACTTGGTGAAGGGGGAAGCCTAGTAAACATAATGTTCTGCATGTAATTGTAGATTACTGATAACAAAATTTAAAAAAAGAAAGAGCTCTGTCCTACAAGACTGCCCTCCACCCACCACAGCCAGACGCTGGTCACAAGCCCCAGGCAATTACCTGTGCTTCTGACCCAAAGGCTATACACTGGAGGTTCCCACAACCTCCCCCTTAGGTTCAATTAATTTGCTAGAACGGCTCACATTACTGAGGAAAACACTTGTTTACCAGTGTAATAAAGGACACAAGTTAACAGCCAGATGAGCAGAGACACAGGGCAAGGTCCTGAATAAAGGAGCTTCTAGCCTCGGGGAGCTTGGGGCCTGGCACAGTGGCACGTGGAGGTGTTCTGGCTCCCCAAGCATAGAAGCCCTCTCCGGCCAGGAAGCAGGATCCAGCCTAGCAGAGCAGGCAGAGCAGAGCAGACAGCAAGAGACCTCTTCTCATGGGTTTTGTGAGGGCTTCATTACATAGTCATGATTGACTGAATTATTGGCCATTGCCTGATGGAGCCTCCAGTCCCTCAAAAGTCTGTCATTAACATGACAAGATACCCATTTCACCTATAGGCTCTGCAGTGGTTTCCAGAACTGGATAAAGATCAAATATATATATGAATGACCAAATCTGTATTTCTTATAACTCATTATATCACAACCCCTATTCCTAAAACATTAAAAATAAGAAGCAAAAGACTTAAGGCAGTCAGGTCTCATTCTGTACACTTTCTAGTACCTGGCTGTGGTTCTTAGCAATACTTGCTGCTCACCTGGTGTTCCGTCCCTGCCAGGTTCCTGCCCATGTGAGGCATGTGAGACTTGCTCCTGTTCCTTGGCTCATAGATGTCTCGCTTTTCCTTGAGCTAATAATCCTATACAGCTTTATCTCAGCTAGCCAGAGATTATTTGCCACCTTTATATGCCACCTCCTTCCTCATTATATGTTCTATAAACAATACCTAGCACATAGTAGGCATTTAATAAATACTTGTTGAATGGATGAAAGAGTAATCCACAGGAGTGCTATAAAATTAACTACTTGAATGAAGCTTTAAGTTTGATGACAAGCCTAGTCCATGGTGAGAAACGCAATCAAAGAGAATAGCCAATCCTGGCACCAAGAAGATCGAATGGTTAATATACACTGTTGTGTGAAAATACTAGATTATGTAATAAGTACACGGTCTGTGATCATATTAATAAAAAAGATGGGAAAAAAGACTAGAAGGATATAAACTGCTGTATAACATGATTATCCATTTATTTATTCACTTAATAAATAACTGAACACTTCCTTTGTGTATGACATTCTTCTGAACATTGCAGAGTTAACCAAACTCACGACTAAATTGCCAGTTAACTGTTACTTAAAATTTAAGAGCAAGAATGCACTGATGGACAGTGACTCCACTGGGGTATGGGTGGGGACTTGATAATATGGGTAAATGTAGTAACCACATTGTTTTTTCATGTGAAACCTTCATAAGAGTATATATCAATCATACTTTAATAAAAAATTAAAAAAACAAATTCAAGAGCAAGAAATGCAGCAACCTTAAACCATGACCAGGAGCACTAATTATGCAATGACAGGATAGGTAAAATCCTTACAAACACAGTAGGGATTCCAGTTTTCCACATGTGCACTACTGCAGGGGGCATGTCGCCAAGCACAAGAGCCAGACTCTTGAGAGAACACCAAATGTGAGTCCTTAGTAAAACCAGGGAGCACACTAATTTTAGTTTAGAAATACCAAAGTTTATCAGCCCTTTTTAATTCAGCAAGAAACCCTTGGCCAAGCACAATCACTTCATAGCCCATCAGGAGATCCCCTTGTAGACCACTCCTGGCCCCGAGAGCATACCATGAATCATGGCTTTAGAAGACATTGTTCCAGAATACCAAAATGGATTTATAAATTGGTTGATTCCCAGATCTCAGTGTGTAAGGAGTATCTACATGTATTTTGTAACTGCTGTATGACTATATGCAGTCAGCAATCCCAGTCTGTAGCCTGGTGTCAATTTATGTTTATCTTCTTAATAATTTGACTGATCATACTCTGCTAGCAGGACAGGCAATGAAATCATAATAGCTCATAAAGGTTTTGGGGCATAGTTGGGTGCCCTCAATTCCTCACATCATTTAAGTAAAGCACAAGAAAATTCTTAGCAATATTTAATAGGCTACAAATGAAACCTTGGGACTTAGGATTCAGTTTTGTTTTGCCTCAATGTAAAATAAATGTCTTCAGTTTTAAATTTGTATTTACAAAGAGACCTTTGACTCTTAGAGATACTGTTAGCATCCTCTGTGTTGACATCCACGTAAGGTATGTTTTTCCTCGCTAGGCTGGGTTTCATGCCAGATGAACTTCCAAACCTAAACTGGAAGGACACCAGGTACCAGTAACCCTCCTCTGATCTCTCCCCCTCTAGGATACCCCTTGGCTCTGTTTTATCGGCATTACCTTTTCTACAAGGACAGCTACCTCATCCATCTCTTCCACACCTTCACAGGCCTCTCAATTGCTTATTTTAACTTTGGTGAGTGAACTGAGGTTAGCAGCGGCACGGGGAAGGGACAGACTTGAGCAAAATTTCCTGGAGAGAATGTAATGCCCAGGGAGGTTCCCATGCTTTGCTTGCAAAGACAGGGGCTATAGGGACAGGAACATAGCTTAACTTTGCCCTTCATGTACATTTGTCTCCCGGGAAAAACATTTTGAGAGTGGTTGCCGTTGCCAGACCCCATCAGCAGAGAGGCATCATTTTCTCCCTGCTGTGGCTGTTACGGGGTGACAGACTGAAGCAGTCGCTGCAGGAGCAGCCCTTTGCACAAACATTCAGAAATACAGTATCTCCCTGACAATCCCTTATATTTATCCAATTAACTTCCACCCTTCCTCCAAAACATGAGGCCATTTTGAAAAAAATATCCTAATACCAAAGTTTTTTCTTTATATGTTCTCTTTGTGCTTAGAAGTCTCAGGAAGGGTGGGAATGCAAAAAACAAAAACAAAACAAAAAAACAAAACCTAGCTAAAATTTGCTATTTTCTCTCTTCTCTGCATCCAGGAAACCAGCTCTACCACTCCCTGCTATGTATTGTGCTTCAGTTCCTCATCCTTCGACTAATGGGCCGCACCATCACTGCCGTCCTCACCACCTTTTTCTTCCAGATGGTAACCGCCTTGCCCTCGGCAGCTCAGGTCATAGCTGACAGCAGCTGGGAGTAGGGGGCAGCGGTGCGGAGAGGGCAGTGAACCGGGTGATCCCATTTTTTTCTCGCCTCTCCCACAACTAGCAGTGTGACTGTGGGTAGGTCACTTTTCACAGGCCCCCGGACTTTCATCTGCAGGTCTCAGTGGTAACACTTCACCTGCCTCAAGGAAGGCGCCAGCTAATCCTCTGCATAGGACTGTGCCCTTCAAGTTCCTCGACTGACCAGGACTAGCCTGGCTTCCCATGAGGGCAATCACTGAAAGGCAAGGCAGCAAGTCAACTTAGAGCCGCAGGATCTAAGCATCTCAGTGCTCAGCTTAGCCCTCCTTTTGCTGAGAAACCTTGAGCAAATCTCTTACCCCTTTGTAGGTTCAGATTCCCAATTTATAGCAACTTCTTAAAGCCTTTAAGGATGAGACCAGGGGAAGGATAAATGAAAAAATACTGTGGAGTTCAGAGCAAGGAGAAAATAAACAGTAGTGATGGTAGAATAACACTTCACCTCTCCTAGGCCTACCTTCTTGCTGGATATTATTATACAGCCACGGGCAACTATGATATCAAGTGGACAATGCCACACTGTGTCCTGACTCTGAAGCTGATCGGTGAGTGGCGGTCACTGCCTCTACACATCAGCTCGCCCCCCGACCTTGAGCCCACTCCAGGCTCTCCTGGCCACACCCTCCGTGTCCTCTCCCCTCCTCTACCCGCACTTCTCTCTCTGCTCAGGTTTGGCTGTTGACTACTTTGATGGAGGGAAAGACCAGGTAAGTGCCCTTCCCTCCACAGAGAGGTTAAGGAATTTAACCAGAGAGATGGAGAAAAGCTGTTGTTACCAAAAGCCTGGACCGAGTGTCAGGGCAGAGCTCCCTCCTCCTCTCCAGCCTGTGGTCCCCCTTTCAGATAGCACTGAGCGAGGATCAGCAAATCTAATGCGATTGGATCCAGCTCTTGCACAAAGTCCAGAGATCAGTGCCAGCAAGGCATCTGGAAAAGCCGCAGCAGGAACTGCTGCTGAGCTGCCCTGTGAAGCAGCTACTTTCTGCATATCATCCCCTCAAAGAGGAAGAATGCCAGTTCAGTGGGGCACAAGGGAGGCAAGCACTAAAACTGGCTCTTGGGGGGGATTCAAGGCTATCCTGAACCATTCATTCTCTTCTTGGCATAGAATTCCTTGTCCTCTGAGCAACAGAAATATGCCATTCGGGGTGTCCCCTCCCTGCTGGAAGTTGCTGGTTTTGCCTACTTCTATGGGGCCTTCTTGGTAGGGCCCCAGTTCTCAATGAACCACTACATGAAGTTGGTGCAGGGGCAGCTGACTGACGTCCCAGGGAAGATACCAAACAGGTAATTGCCCCTCTTGGTCTAGACCCCTCTATAGGTGTCTGACCCAATACAGAGCCACTTCTGAATTGACCGTCCTGAAGGCCAGCACTGGCTGCCTTCTCCAGCATGGCCCGGCTCACAGGCGTGCCACACAGGCCGCGGCTGTCCTGACGGGCCCTCCGTACCTGCTCGCTGTGGGTAGTGGGCCCTTTCCAGCCTAGGTTACTACATTCTGACCCTGTAGTACAGATGTAAAAAGTCACTTTTATGCCACAGGATTTTGCCTGAACCAGACATGTCTCTCCCTATAAAGCCCATTTTCTCAGTTAAAAGAAAATAGATTGCTAAATATATAAAAATGTATTTCACAGTGGAAAAATGTAGAAGTTACCAGAAAAATCCCTTCACTGAGAGCTCACTCAGCCTGTGTTGGAGCATCCGTTCAACCGGGATGGGAAGGAGCAGATTCAAAATCAGTCTTTGTCATCTCCTCCGCATGGGGTTTTCAGGCTCTCAGCCACACTGCTGCCCACGGCCCTTCCTTCCCTGTGCCTCGTGGGGCTTTGCATTTGCCATTCCTCACGGCCAGCCACATAGAGACGTCTTTCCCCGAGAGCGGACGAGGCCTTCGGGCAGCAAGCTGCTCATCCCACTCCAGAGGGATGGCCACACTCTGAAACACGCTCCGCAATTTAAGTGTAGAGGGTTGAAGGGCTGCACCTCTGCCCATCATGACCCGGCTTGTCCCTTTCCAGCGTCATTCCTGCTCTCAAGCGTCTGAGTCTGGGCCTCATCTACCTAGTGGGCTACACTCTGCTCAGCCCCCACATCACGGAAGACTATCTCCTCACTGAGGACTATGAAGTGAGTGCTTCCGAAAGCAGCAGCTTTATGTTCTTAAATGCATCAGAGCTAGAAAATGGACAGGCAAGGGTCCCTGTAGATATTCAAGAAGGGGGTAATACCATCTACAAATGCATGTTGGTTTTGCTCTAGATCTGTGAGCGTTGGTGTCAGTGCCAGCCGGGCCGGGACATGTTCACCAGCCAGCATTGAACGACCTTCGCGGGCACAGGGCTGTGCCAGGTGCACTGTAGCACCCCTTTCCTCCCCAGGAGCAGCTCCTGGCTTGCTTTGTTACAGCCAAGGGGCTCCTTGGCGCACAGCAGCTTCTGGTCCTCTCCAGCCTGTTTTCTTCTCTTGATAGATTGGGGGCTTCTAGGGAATTCAAAAACCAAGGGAGGGGGAAGTGCTGGCTTTTGCTCCTGCCCAGCTGAAAGGCTTGCAACAGTTCCATACGCACTCTGGGTAGGTTTATCTCCTTCAATTAACATTGAACATGGATGTGTAACAGTCCCTCAGTGCCTAGGGTTCCAAATGCTCAGTACCTTAGGAGCAGAGTTAAAGACATTGCTGTTTCTGGGACTTTCCCAAGAAAAGGTGAATGGATGTTCCCCGGGCTCCCTGCTTGTTCCTCCTAGCCTGTCATAAGGCAGTTCTGCAGACTGTCAGGTGGACATGGAATAGGCAGCCACACATTTGGAAAGGAAGTTTGCCTTGCCTGGGTGGTATCCATCCCTGATGTACATGTTCTTTCTTCTCAAGAACCACCTTTTCTGGTTCCGTTGTTTGTACATGCTGCTCTGGGGCAAGTTTGTGCTGTACAAATACGTCACCTGTTGGCTGGTCACAGTAAGTAGAAAAGATAAAGCAGGGTTGTTTTTCAACAAGCTGTGGGGGGGCTCGGGCAGACAGGTGGCAAGAGGGCAGCAAGAGCCCCTAACTGCGTTGTCCCTCCGCCAGGAAGGAGTGTGCATTTTGACGGGGCTGGGCTTCAATGACTTCGAAACCAGTGGAAAGGCCAAGTGGGATGCCTGTGCGAACATGAAGGTGTGGCTCTTTGAAACAACCCCCCGCTTCACTGGCACCATCGCCTCTTTTAACATCAACACTAATGCCTGGGTGGCCCGGTAAGCACGTTGGGTTGGGGGCAGGGTCTGGGTCACGCTCCTTCCTTCTGCTGCTTTCCCGGATTTGAAGGCAGGGCTGTATTCTGTCACCACTGTCCATCTTTCCCCACTTTGGGTAGAACCTCCTGTCATTCTCACATACACCCACACACTTTCCCTACCCCATGCCCCCAAAAACCATTCCTGTTCTATTTGAAAAAAAAGCAAGATTTGTAAGTGCCTTGAGTCCCGGGTCTCAATCCCAGCCCTGCCACCGCTCTCCTGTTCCCTGCTGCCCTGTGTATACACATCTCATTTGTGCTCCCCACCTCAGCTGCAGGCACTCAGGTGTCACCTGGTGTGTGCAGTGGCTGCACAAGGACCAGCCAAGCCTTAGGTCTGTTTTCTGACGTGTGAGTCAACTGCACCGGCTTGCATCTCTACAGCTAATCAGATGGCACCACCTCCCTTACCCTGGGTGGCCCAGACGGGAGCCAGCCACTACCCCTGCACCCCTCAGAGTGCAGAGGACTGGAGGCAGGATGGTGGGAATGCAGGGCCTGGTCTGAGGCCCCTTCTTACCCATCCTTTTCTCTAGTTACTTCTTTAAACGACTCAAGTTCCTTGGGAATAAAGTATTATCCCAAGGTCTCTCATTGCTCTTCTTGGCCCTCTGGCATGGCCTGCACTCAGGATACCTGGTCTGTTTCCAGATGGAATTCCTCATTGTTATCGTGGAAAGACAGGTAGGCCGTAAGGGTGGGGGGTAAAAGGGGACTATGAGAGGGGCAAAACACTGAGGACCCCCCTGCTTCCTCCCCAGGCGGCCAGCCTAATCCGAGACAGCCCAACTCTGAGCAACCTGGCTTCCATCACTGCCCTACAGCCCGTCTACTATTTGGTGCAGCAGACCATCCACTGGCTCTTCATGGGTTACTCGATGACTGCCTTCTGCCTCTTCACTTGGGACAAATGGTTTAAGGTGAGGGAGGGCACCACTGAGATGGATCTCAGGCCGCAAGAGCCATTCGAGCCCCTTGTCTACCTCAGTGGTCTGTGTCTCTCCACAGGTATATAAATCCATCCATTTTCTTGGCCACGTCTTCTTCTTGAGCCTACTATTCATATTGCCTTACATTCGCAAAGTGATGGTGCCAAGAAAGGAGAAGTTAAAGAAAATGGAATAATCTGTTTCCCTGGTAAGTAAAATCAATTTCCCTTTAGCTACACTGCGAACTACCAGTTTACAGAATACAGCAACAGACTGCAAGGTGGGGGACACTAAATGGAAATTTGGGGTGAATCTCAAGGTGGCCTGGCTTCTAGGAAACACAGTATGGGGCACTGACTACTCAGGCCTGCCAGGAAGCAGCTGGATCACTATAAACCAGGGACTGGCAGGCATGACGGACCAGCCTGACAGTCAGATCTCTTCTCTCGCAGGTGGCCTAGAGCGGGACTGTGCAGGAACAGCTCATCTCCCTTTTCACAGCACTCCATCGCCTCAGAGCACAGAACGCAGAGGAGTGGAAAGACAGGGCACCCCTTGGGGTGCCTCTGTTGCCAGCCAAGTCTTCATCTGGGGCCAAAGGGGACACTCTCATGGGAGGAGTTAGAGGGGCCCACGTCTCCCCTCCAGGCTCCCCCATGCACGTTGCCTTATCTCTCCCCTACAGCCAGGAATCTTGTTTTTCTCCTGCCAATTTACTATGATTGTATATGTGCCCCTGCCACCACCCCCCCCATGGGGGGGAGAGGAGGGGTACAAGGCCCCGCCTGCTCCACTTTTTCTACCGTGGAACTGTACCAGATAAAGTCACTTCTGTTTGTTCAGTTTTTCACTGCTAGCATTCCTGGCTGCTTTCTTTCAGGCGAGTTCTCCATGCTTGCCATGGCTGAAACAGCCAGACTGTCTCCTGTAAAGCCTAGTGATCTCAGAACTTTGGAGCCAAACTACAAATGCTGTGACCTCATATCTTTCCCTGAAGTCTGAGGAGAACAACCAGTTTACCCCACTAGATAACTACTAAGTTTAGGAATGCACAGACAAGTATTTACAAACACGTGTGTCCAAGAACAGTATTTATAGGATAAACAAAGAGCAAGTGTACAGCCTCAGCTTCCCTGAACTCCACAGTCTCAGGGCAGGAAGGTCCTCTTCTGCAGTGAGTTGAAAGTGGGGTCAAGGGATGCAATGTTGACAGTCTGTTTCAGAACAAGGTTCTATTGTCAGATGACCCCCCACACTTCTTCAAAGGCTGTGGTAAGTTTTGCACAGGTGAGGGCAGCAGAAAGGGGGTAGTTGCTGATGGACACCATCTTCTCTGTATACTCTACATTGACCTAGAGAGAGAATAATTCTGTCAGCTGGCTCTGCCATTGTTACAGGTTCAACCCTCTTTAGGGCAGGAAAATCAGGGTTGAGCTTGTATTTCACAGTGCTATTTAATATCAGATTTGTACAAAGGATAAAGAAGGTCCCAGCTTTCACTATCACTAATACGCCAGCAGTCCCCAGAGGATGCACCTGGGGCAGGATATGGAACCCTCAATTGTCTCCCAGTTTTGATATTATTTCCCAACTTACAAGGAAAAGCACCACCAAAATGTTAACTGCTCTCTGAATTCTGTACTAAGCTTCAGCTCTATGAAGAATCGAGGAGTGAGCCTTGACCTTACCTTGCCGTGGGCAAAGGCCCCAACCACAAAAACAATAGGGTCACTGCTGGGCACCAACTCTCGTACATCACTGACAACTGGGATGGAAAAAGAAGTGCCGATTTTCATACATCCAACTGGGAAGTGATCTGACACTGGATTCTTAATTACCTAAAGGAAAAGAGAACAGTCAGACCCCAAAACATTCTCAGAACTGCACCTCCAGCCAGTAGGAGTCAATACCTCACCTTCAAGAGTTTCTGGGGGCCATCAGCTGCCCGAACACTGAGTTTGTGTAAAAGCTGAACTAGAGGGAGAAAAAAACGGTTCAGAGCTAGGTGAAGACCCCACTTCTGCCCAGTAATCTAACCAGAAAACCCCATGGGTAAGGTGAGCTCCATGTAGCTCTTGCATCCCCACTATACTCCTAAAATGTTACAAGCAAGCAGTTGTCAAGCACGTGACTAGTTGTACAGCAATGAGTTCACTCAGCCAGGAACCTACACAGGCTTTACCCCACATGGGAAGAAGATAATGAATCCCCTCCCCCCGCTTAAAAACTCCACATCATTTATACCTTTCCTCTTCCTCCCTTCACCACTGCCAAGTTTGTTCTAAATTTTCCATTCTAAATTTTAAGTGCTAAAGCTCTCACCCATGAGGCCACAAAAACGGTCAAAGGTTCTGGGAATTCGGGTCTGGGGGTTCACTTCAATCAGTACATTCTTCTGTGTGTGAATATAAACCTGCAGCAAGCCAGCTCGGTTCAGGGGACTGTCCATCAGCATCAGTAAACTCTGGGGGAGGCAGAAACCAAGGCCGAGGTAAGACTTAAAAAGTCACATGCAGCTGCCTTACCCTCCATACAGAGGCTCAAGGGGGTGGGAGCTGTATCCCTGGAGTTACCTGGTGAGCTATGTCTGGTCTCACTTCCCCCGGGTCCCGTCCATTCTTCAACAACACAGACTTGTGCTTATCACAGTTCAGCAATTCGTACGTCTTCCCTACCTAAAGAATAGGCAATATGATAGAAAGCAACATATGCTGCTTTGCCCTAGCCAACATCGTGGTACCCAAGCCATCATCATCATCTGGAAACTTGGTAGGCAAATTCTTGGCCCTCTTCACATCCCTGAACCAGACACTTGGGGGGGCGGGGGCAGCAAGCCCATCAGGGGACCACTGTGTGGTATTTACTCCTCCCCTCCCCCTGTAACTGATCTCAGAGGGGAAAAAAAAGGGAGGGTACAACCCATAATTTCAAATGTATAAACAGGATTTAATTCTAAAACCCGTGGCTCTTAGGCAAAGCCAGTGAGGGATTCTGGAACCAGGCAAGAGTAATATTAGTGAGCAAGGCTGAATGCTTGTTCATCACAGGAACATGTATTCCCTGGGCAAAATATACAAGGTCACTACCCTCAGTTTGCTTATAACAAACACTAAGTGAAGAACTGCAAACCTGGACAAGAAGAAGTATGAAAAAACTAATGATGCAGGAGGTAGTTTAATCAAGGAAGGCCTTTCTCAGAAGTAAAACTGAGAAGGATGTTCCCAGTTTCAAGATGCAGGAGCAAAGGTCTGGTCTAAACAGAACAAGAAGGCAGAAATGTGAAGAAAGAACATGCTGCTGAAAAAGTGAGAACTGAGACACTGACAGGCAGTGATTATAATTGAAACTGCCTCGTCAACTGCAGAATCCTCAAGTACCAAGCACAGAGCCAGAAATATTTCTGGAAGAACGAGCAGGAGAATGAGTGAGGAATACTATCCTGGCAACTCTGTACTGGAAAGCACCAGCTAGAAGTTTGATACTAAAGATCTAGCTAGATATTTTCTATAGCAACTAAAAGAGGTAACTGCAACTTGCAATTTGGAATCCTAAGGAGCATTACAGTGATCAGCAAAAGGTCTGAAAACAAAGTACAGATACAGGTTCTGAAAAGCTAAGTTTCTATTTAGCAATAGAACATTTGTATGTCTGGCCACATCTTAAGGTACATGACTGCAAAAAGTTTGGGGGGAAAGGCATGTAGATTTTGAAACTGATTGAATAATTGAAATAAGATTGTCACAGAGAGTAAAGCATAGAGAAAGAACAAAAGACCAAGAACTAAGCATAGAGAAAGAACAAAAGGCCAAGAACTAAGAAATTTCACACCATCCCCTGGGATACTCTTGGTTATAGAAGAAAAAGAAGCTCTTGAATAGAAGAATCCAGTTCCAACCCATTAGATACAACCAGGGCTTTTGTTCTTTTAATAAGGTAGAATAGGAAACAAGTACTTCACATGTTAAAGGTTTATGAAACTTTTTATTAGTTTCATGTAGTCTGGCTCACAATATAATTTTTTTGTTGTAGGTTCTGGTTAATAAGCTTCAAAGCCACTAACTAGAATAATCAGGATGAACACCATGTGTATTCATGTTCTGTAATAAGTATTAGCGATATAAGAAAAAAAATTGTTAAACGTTATTCTCTGCCCTCATAGTCTTCTACAGGAGACAAATGGTAAACAACCACATGAATATTTAACTGAATTGTGATAAACATCATGAAGCCAAAGTAAATGATTCATTAAAGAATTGTAACAGGAGGACCTGATTTATACCAGGAAGGGAGTCATTTCTATGAGAAAGTAACATAAGTAAAATTTAACCTAATAATTGAAGAATGAGCAGCATAACAGACTCAGTAATTGTTAAATGAACATTAAGTAGGAATTAATGAAGCAAAGAGCTGAGTGAAGGAAGCTTCCAGTTAGAGACCATTATGTGCAATGACCTAAAGGTGTTAGAGAGCTTAGTGCTTTCAAAGAGCTTAAAGAAGGCCAATGAGACTGGAGTTTAAGAAATAAATGGGAGAGAGCAGGCCTGGATGAAGCTGGCAGAAGCAAGACATACCAGCACAAGGAAGGCGCAAGATAACAAAAGATACAGAAGATTTCAACCAGCTATGACGTCTATCACCCTTGGAATACCATTAATGGTAACTTGGCCTAAATTCTTCCAGAGCATGCTCTAGGAATTTTAATTGGCCATGACATTTTCAACTTCTTAATAAGTTGAAATCAGTAACAATAATAATAACTCCAAGTGACAGACATTATTATTCTAAACCCTTTACACATATTAACTCCTTTAACCCAAGAGCCCAATAAGGTAGGTACTACTGTTGTTCCATGGAACATATGAATAAAGAAGTGGTTAAGTGACATTCAGAATTAACAAGTGAGAAAGACAGGCAACTAAGTGAGGATGTATATAACCTATAATTAGGTCAGAGATATCAATTACAAAAAAAAAGGAAACCTGATTAGCTGGTCACTTTAAGAAAGGGTTTCTAGACTGCAAGCTTAATAAAGTGCCACAGTAGTTGAAGAAGGAAAGATGACATTACTATGGAAATGTATTACCTTTAAAGAACTTTCACGCAATCCCGTGTGCTTCACAGTTACAGTATTAACCCCACTATACAAACTGAGAATAAATTTGTTTTCTCAAGACCACATAGTTAAAGACTAAGATCCAAGATTAAAATCCAGAACTGACTTCTAAACCAGTGCTATTTCTTCTGGGCCTATTCATTGAACAAGTTTAGCGCTAAAAGATGAGAAACAAGAAAGTCAGAGGAATGAGAACACTGCACAATTTTGAAGATGGAAATTTCTGGATTTATGTGGGAAAAGAGCTGAATTGACAGGTAAAAGTAAAAATGTTGAAGTATTAAATGATAATCTGATCCAGTGTTTCAAAGAGGAGTCACACACAGGATGGTGACAGTAGGCACCTTTTAACCAAATAAGTCCTTACGAATAAAAGGGTGAGCAGAGTAAGCTACAGTAACTACCTTTCTCCTTTGCCAGTAACTTGTCTTGGGATGTGGGACTACACGATGGACAAAACTCTTCTCCCCTTAGATGACTTTATACCACAGAATGCTGGTAAATCAATTGGAAGCAAGGCCGTGAGAGCTGAAACGGGATTCAAGAGCAGAAGAAAACGAGAACTTCCAATCCAAGACATTAAACAAAGAAACAGTCAACTGCACCACTCTCCTTCCAAAAGCATATTTCACCTCTCTACTTTCTCCATTCACTTTGAGCCCCCCGCTCTCATCCCACGGAATCCTACCCTACCAATCTACTACTACTCCACTTGCTTGCCCCATACTACCTTGACTGTCTCCAGACTGGCCCCTTCCAGAACCACAATGAGCCTACGGCCTCCGATCTTGCTTCCTGCCCCGAGTCGGGGCCGCTTAGGCGCCACAGGATCCCAGTCCTGTCCCTGCTCCCCACCGCGCCCCTCAGGAGGTTGGAACCCAGCACTGGGCGCAGCCATCTCAAACCGAACCGGAAGTTGTGTAACGTCCTTAAATTAGGACCTCGCGCACGCCCCAATCGCAAGGGTCCTTCCGGCTGCCATTTTGAAAGTGGGCGCTTGGAAAGGGCGGTGACTTGCTGTCTGGTACAACCGAAGCCTCTCTGGGAGGTCAGTGTTCCAGAACGGGGCGGGTACTTCCGTATGCGTAATTCCTATGCGCGAAGCTCAGGTCCGCAGCGGGCGGGGTAAGGGGGCGGGAAGAAAGGAGTACAGTTCCGGTGCCCTTTCTCCCGCGAGCGCCTCCTGCCCCGGACCCTCGTGTGAAGGGTGCGATCCCTAAACTGGAGTAGGGTAGAAGCGGGCCGGCACCCACTTCTAGCCTCTGGTGCCGCCGGCCTCACCATCGGACATGGCCCAGAACTTGAAAGACTTAGCGGGACGCCTGCCCTCCGGGCCCCGCGGCATGGGCACGGCGCTGAAGCTGCTGCTGGGGGCCGGCGCCGTAGCCTACGGCGTTCGCGAGTCCGTGTTCACCGGTGAGCAACCTCCCCCGCTCTCCGGACTCCACCTGCCCCTCCCGAGACCCCTGCGCAGGCCCGCCGGTCCCTGCGCTCACCCAGCCACTTATCCGCCCCACAAGGGACTAGCACGTACTCTGAGCAGCGATCCGGCCTCATCCCCACCCTTCTCCCCACAGTGGAAGGCGGGCACAGGGCCATTTTCTTTAATCGGATCGGTGGCGTGCAGCAGGACACCATTCTGGCTGAGGGCCTCCACTTCAGGTAATGGCGGGCAGCGCAGACTGACCCTGACCCTTCACCCTTGAACGCCTACCCACCACCACCAATGGCTGTAGTAGGATTGTCAACAGGATTCAGCGCAGCTCTTTCCCTTCTCACTCCATCTCCCAGGACAATGGGTGCTGCCCAAAATGACAGCAGCGCATAAAATGCTCTCCACAGGAAGACGAGCATTTTGTCCCTTGTCATTAAGGGAAACAGACCAAGAAACACGTGGTGAGGGGGAAACTAGTGAAACTGCAATCTCCTAATACCTACACCTGTTTCCTCCGCTCCAGGATCCCTTGGTTCCAGTACCCTATCATCTATGACATTCGGGCCAGACCCCGAAAAATTTCCTCCCCCACAGGCTCCAAAGGTAGGTCTGGGCACTTGGGAGTCACTGTCTCTTGGGCCTCAGTTTCCACATCTGCAAAAGGACTGTAAGTCTCTGTTACTGAGGTTGATGCAGAACATTCTGAACACACTGCACCTTTTTATTAACTGCCCCTCCCCCATAACAAACTCAGAGCATTGTTTGTTCTCTGTCTTATTCAGTGCCAAGATCAAAGCCTTGCTTTAAAGCTTTCTCTTCCTTCATCTGCTTGACATACTAATTGTGTCCATAGTGCACCCTGTCCTGGGGGAACCTGGCCCAACCGCAGGTGCACTTGTTCCCTTACAGACCATACCTGAAAGCCATGCCTTTGAGATTCCCCAGACCTCTTCCTCTCTCTCTCACGCACACACACAGGCATGTACACCCTGAGGCAAGTGGCTCACCTGAGACTACATTTTTTGTACTGTTCTTAGTGCAAGTCACATAACATTCACTCAACCCTAGACCCTGAGAATAAAGGATTCATAAAACACTACCCTGCCCTTAATTCCTTACAGTATAGTAAAGGAAACAGACACAGCATGCCAGCACCTGCAGTAGAGATCGCACACAGTTCACTGGCACACAGAGAGGTCACCTCCACTGGTGGAGGGGGTGTGCGTGGGGAAAATTTCAAGTGCACGAGTGTGTGTTTGGTCTGTGCTGAGTTGCATCTTGTCCAGCTGACTACCTTAGAGGGAAGTGCAGGGAAGAGAAAACCAGTAAGTTAAGGGTGTCTGGCTGTGGCCAGATGAGGCCCCGTGGCCTTGACCAGCCCCCGCTGATGTTATCCTTAGACCTGCAGATGGTGAACATCTCCCTGCGGGTGCTGTCTCGACCCAACGCCCAGGAGCTTCCCAGCATGTACCAGCGCCTAGGGCTTGACTACGAGGAGCGAGTGTTGCCATCCATCGTCAACGAGGTGCTCAAGAGTGTGGTGGCCAAGTTCAACGCCTCACAGCTGATCACCCAGCGGGCCCAGGTTTACCTCCAGCTCCCATCACCGTCTGTGTCATGTCGGCATTTCCCTCCTGGACCCAAGGCACTGTGTGTTAGGAAAGGCAGCTCATTAGAAGAGGGTTGTGACTAGTTTTCTTCCTGAAAGCTGGATTGATGGCCACTGGGGGTAACTGGGAGAGCCAAGACTATAATTCAGTAGCAGTCAGTGTTAGAAAGCATGGAGGAAACAGCAGTCCCACGGGGCATGCTCTATTTGAGGGAGTGGAAGATAGGGAGTCAGTGTGACCTGCTGGAAAGATCAGACCCAGTCCTTTCCAACTCAGGTGTTCTAGTGAGTAACTAAGAATTAGGGTGCTTTCAGCTGTTTTCAGGAGCTGTGCTGCTCGGTTGGCACAGCAACCTGCCTGCCTTCCTTTCAGTCATCCAGTCCCCCAGACCTTCTCTCCTCTCCTCTCCTCTCCTCTCCTCACCGTGCCCCCCAGGTGTCTCTCTTGATCCGACGGGAACTGACAGAGAGGGCCAAGGACTTCAGCCTTATCCTAGATGACGTTGCCATCACAGAGCTGAGCTTTAGCCGCGAGTACACAGCTGCTGTAGAAGCCAAACAAGTGGGTGAGTTACAAGAGGAGTAGGTGAAGGCTCCCAAGAATGCAGGAAGTGCAGTGGGGTTCCTGGCGCCCCACATCGGTGACCCCCTACTCTCCCACCACAGCCCAGCAGGAGGCCCAGCGGGCCCAGTTCTTGGTGGAAAAAGCAAAGCAGGAACAGCGGCAGAAGATCGTGCAGGCCGAGGGAGAGGCAGAGGCCGCCAGGATGATATCCTTTTGCCAGAGAGAGCTTAGCCCAGTGCTGGCGCTCCACCTTCCCCTCCTGGGCCGGCTGATGAGACCAAGGCGAATGCGACCCCGTGTCTATGATGCTGAGCCCCCTGGGGGTAGAGGTTCTGGATGGGATCTGAAATCTTAGTGAGGGTGCCTGAGGCCTGGTTCCTCACTGTAAGACAGATCGACATTGCTGCTGGCCTCACCTCCACTTGTGCTACTGCCTGCAGTTCCTGGCAGCTGCAAGCAGGGGGGCCCACAGGTGGGGGACAAAGTAGAGCTGGGCACGGGCCATCTGGGCGCAACCTTGGATCTGACGGCCCAGAGGAGGGCTGGAGTGAGAGGAAGAGTAAGGCTAGGGCCAGTGGTGGAGACCTAGCCTTGTGTGAACCCTTAACCCCTGCTCACCTTGGAGAAGCACTGGGCAAGAACCCTGGCTACATCAAGCTGCGCAAGATCCGAGCAGCTCAGAACATCTCCAAGACGGTGAGCATGGGAGCCTGGCAGCACTCATGCAGCTGCTTGAGTGAAAGTTCTCAGTTAAAGCACACTGAAGTGAGGAAATTAGAATTTTGCTTGGTCAGGTCTTACTCAGACTGGCATCTCTGACACTCCTCCCCCATCAAAAATGATCGCTCTGGGCTCCCTGACCTTTTGTTCATGCCCCCATTACTAACAGCACAGTGCTTGCTGCTCTCCATCCTGTGTGAGGGCAGAGCTGTGTCCCTGCTCCTGACCCACACATGTCCTTCGGTGTTACTCGATTGCAGGCACAGGAATGGAGGTTGCCTTTGCCTAACACATCTTTCTTCCCCTGCCCATAGATTGCCACATCCCAGAATCGTATCTATCTCACTGCTGACAACCTTGTGCTAAACCTACAGGATGAAAGTTTCACCCGGTGAGAGACGTGACCTACAGTGGTTCATCACAAACGACAGGGCCTGGGTCTGGTCACGGGCTCCAGAGCCTGTCACCAGTTTGTTTGCTTGACCCTGTAAAGACATGTTTCTCTGAACCAAGGTTTTTTAAAGTGGGTGGTTGACAATTCCTAACTTGAATCTCACAGGATTAATTTTATAAGATAAAATAGGATTATTCAGATAAAAAAGCATTTAAATAGTAAAGTTTTGTCTGACTGAAAAGTGGTGAAAGATTATAGTGTACTCAGGAGCCCTAAAATTGCTGCCCTGGGGCCATGGAAGGATGCTAGGAAAGGAGTGGTGGGAACTGGCGGTGGCTAAGCAAACCAGTCTCTGCTCCTCCAAAGGCTAAAATCCTGGCTTTCCAACCCATTTGTTTCTCTCTTGGGAGTAAAGGAGGTTTGAGGGCTGGGTGGGGCCTGAAGCTGTCAGTCACATGTGCGCTTCTCTTTTCTTCCTGTTTGCTCTTCGCCTGGCCGCCTGGCGCCCACAGGGGCAGGTAAGGTTGATGCATGTTTACTTCCATGGGTCTTGCAGTTCATCTCCAAGTACCTAACTCCTCTCCCCACACAAACCGGCAATCTGGGAGGAGTGCTGAGGAGGGAGTTCCTGAGCTGCTCTGCCTCTGATTTGTCCCCTAATGTCATCACTTCGTCTCAATTCTACAGTGACAGCCTTATCAAGAGCAAGAAATGAGCCTGGTGACCAAGAACTCCACCCCCAGAGAAGTGGATCTCTTTTCTCCCCTGGTTTTTGAGGAGCCAGCCTGGGCCTGGAGTCTGGCACACCCCCACCCCGTCCCCAGTGTCATGCGATGGCTCCTCTGCGTCAGTCCTCCCACCCTGCTTGGATGAATGGAGACTGACTGATTTTCAGGGGAATGCCTTTCTTCCTCCCCGTGTTGGCCAGGGGTATTGGGACCGTGTGTGATTTCTAAGTGATTTCCGGCAGTGCTGGTTCCTCCCTCTTTGGGAGGCAGTAGCCACCATCCCCGGATCCTCAATAAATTTTTATTACTCAAGCTTAAGTGAAGGCCTCACGTGTCTGAGCGGGGTTGGGGAGGCACGCATGCGCACGCCCACGCTGCGCTCGAGTCGGCCTGTGTATCCGCCAGCAGGGGGCGCAAAGACTCCGCAGAGGACAGTTGAGCAAGAGTTAAGAGCTGGGCCATGCTCTCACCCTGGAAGTCCAGCAAGGCCCTCGATCACTCCTGACGCCCAACTGCACCCTTCACCCCACCCTCCATTTTAACTGAATCGCCCCCTTTATCAACATCTCTTTCTATAAGGCTGGAGTAACTGTGGCTCTGCTGAGCTAAATCAAAAATATAACCCCAACAGGAGCTGCTTCCTTGATGACGGGTTCTGTGTAGCTGCTGGGGACACCATTTGCGCCTGCAGAGGGACCTGCGTGTAGAGTAGCCCCGTGGGTCACGTCTCCTGCTGCGGGCTACTCACACGTTCCCCGTCACCAGACGGTTTGTGGAATAGGGCTCTTTGCTCCCGCAGCTCCCGGCCCCCAACAGAGCAGGTGCCTGTGCGCAGTCCCTACAGGAGCTGCTGATTGTATCTTTCCCAAGACACCCTCTTTGACTCTGAAGCACCAGAGAAGCACACTTCCCCAGAAGCCACTGCCCGGTGCCACTACAACCCTTTACCATCCCTTCCCTCACGGGGGAGGCGGTACATTCGGAACCGCAAGACAGCGTGGGGGCACACTATGTACAGGAATTACAGAGGGCGTGGGCAGGAGGGCTGGGGTCATCTTCAGCTTTTTAGGTTCTTGACGAGAGGATCAATCTTCCCCTGTTGGGCAGGTCTAGCGTCATGAAAGGGAGAGGGAGATGAAGAGGATGTGGCAGCCCCACACTCCTCAGTAGCTGGGAGCCTGAGATGAGATCGGCATTTACACAAAGACAGTCAAGTGCCCTGACGCAGTCAGCCATAAGTTCCCTCTCACATTTTATTTCTCTGGCCTTCCCAAGGTCCTTAATGCGGGAAGAGGCGGGCGTCTGGGGAGCATGTTTGTCCCAAATCCCGTCGCTCCAGAGGCAGCCATTTTGTCTACTACCCATTGTTCCCCTTCCCCCAGGGATTTACCCCCATCGGAGGGGTAAAGGTCAAAGGTCGTTGGTCAGGAGCCTCCATGGTCTTCAGGGCTCCCTGGAGGTCACTGCCGAGGGCACCGACCCAGAGGCCATCTTTACCAGACAGTGTTAGGAGCTTCACAGTCAGACCATCCAACACTGTACTGGAAGATGGACCCAGGGCGGCATATGCACAGTCCGGGCCAGAGCTGACCGCCTTATGGGACCCTGGCAGGAGGCCAGGTGAGGTCTGGAGAATACCGGAGCCAACGCCAAACTCAAGGTCACAGTGGGTTCTGGAGCCACCGGACAAGTCGCACTGGATTGGGGGAGGGGTTCGGGGCCATTGTGTCCCTTCAGTGGGCGGACAGCCAACCGAGGGCCACCCCTTCTGCAGCACCTTCTGCTCAAGACGATGGGCTTCCCGGTGTGTGGGAAGGGGATGCAGCCAGCTGGAGGCTGGGGGCCTGAGGCGACGGGTGCCGCTGACACAGGGGCAGGGGCCTCCATCATTACCCGGCAGTATTAGAGACTCCCGACCAGCACCCAAACACTGCTGGGTAAGACGGGGGCCCCCACCCAGCCTGCCGGCCTCCAGGCCCCGCAGTCCTCGGCCCAGACCCCTGAGAAGAGGCTACAGCACCCTGGTTCCCATCCCCCATGCCCCGCGTCCCCGGGGACACTTCCGGGTGAGTCCTGTAGCCCTCCACCAGCCCCACCCTGAGTTGCTATCCACTGAGGCCCAGGCAGGATTTCCGCAGCCCCCTGCCCAGATGCCCCTTCTCCGCCTCTGAGACCCTTCCCGCACCAGCCCCCAGCTTGTCCCAGACCCCACACACCAATTCCCCAGCCTCGTCCCCCCTCTGCAGTCCCGAGCTCGGCCCCAGAACCCCTCTCCCGCTGGCCTTTACCTGTCACCAGGCCGCCTGCCCCCTACCGAGCGAGGGCCAAGGAGAAGAAGGGGAGTCCAGGCCCGGGATTTAAGGGCCTGGAGCCCGCCCTGCCTCTGCTCTTCCTTCTTCCTTCCCCACCGACCTGGCAGCGCAGGCTCCTCACCTGGGCCCCGCCCGCCGCCCCTGCGCACAGGTGTGTCCTGCTGCCATAGGCTGCCCCCCCACCGCCTTAACCCCTGCTCTCCCAGGGCCAGCCGCAGGCGCCTCCACGGAGGCCTGGCCGCCCCACAGGCCTCCCACCCTCTCCCAGCTGCTCCATCCCTCCTGCCGGCCCCTGGGCCTAGACTAAGGAACTAGTAGGTCTCCAGAGAAAGAGGGAGGCCAGGCCTTTGGGCCCTTTGCCTCTCCACCTCTCCCTGCAGCTGCTCCTGTCCCCAGCCAGCCCCTTCCCCAGAGGCCTCACACCCTGCCTTTGGCCAGAGTTGGAGGGCCAGAGATCCCAGAGGTCATCAAGAGGTCAGCTCTCGACAGGGATTGGGTTGTGCCCCACCTGTGCCCGGTTCCTGTGGAGGGCAGGCAGGTCCCAGCAGGCACCTCCCTGTGCTCGGCCCTAGTGTTGGGGTTCCCACGATTCGAAACTGAGCTGCTCTTGAGAGGGACTGAGCACCCCTCAGGCAGAACTGCTCCTGGGCCCACCTCAGTACCCTAAATCCAAGTCCCAGCCCACTGGTATTATTAGCTCAAGGGCAGTGAGAAGGTGGCCCCTGTCTTTCTTTTGTGTGGCTCTAGCTGGGTAGAAAGGGCATGTCTGGAAGCGGGGCCCCAAGGCACACAGGTGATGCTCCACCCACCCATCCCCCAGGGCACAGCTCCCAGGAGTTATTGTGTTGCCCAACCCCTGCTCTCCTCTCCCTCTCTCTCTCCTTTGTTTGCAGCCCTCTTAATACCCGTACATTTTGTTTGTGGACGGTTTCAGGATCTGTCTCGCCTACCAATCTCCCAAGTCCCACAAGGACAGGGACTGACTTGCTCACCCAGCCCTGCTCAGTGCCTCTGTCACAGCAGACACCCCGCAGAGCGCATGCGCTCTGAGCCTCCCCTGCAGCAAGGAACCGGCTCTCCCAGGAGCCTCGGGCTTCCCTCCCCAGGGGAGGCATTTGAAAGCAAGATAAAGCCCTAATACAAAGTAGGAGAGTAGTCTACTCTGGACCTAGAGAATGGGAGAGGAGACAAAAATAGAAGCCTAGCTAGGAGCACATGGGCAGAGTGCCCCGGTGAAGGGAGGAGCAGGTGAGCCCTCAGGAGCTGAGACGGGAGCTGGAAGCCAGGAGATCAGCAGTGCTACGCAGGTGCTTCGGCTTTTACTGAGCTGCTTAGCTCGTGGATCTACAAGTCAGCACCAGGTGTGACTGTGTACCCCTCGGGGTGACCCCAGCTGCATCTCCAGGAGTGTAGTTTCTGGGGCTTCACTGCTCATTAGCCCTGGGATGTTGAGCAAGTTATTTAATCTATCTTGCCTCAGGTTCCCACACTGCAAAACATGATGAGACAGGTTCCTAGACTGAATTAATACTCAGTCTTTTGCAGGGTACCTGACCCACGGCAAGTGCATAATTAATTACTGTGGCCAGTTATGATCATGTATGTCCCTTAGCTCAGTGATCTTCACAACCACCCTGTTAGGATCACCCTCCACTTTAAAGTAAACGGAAGATGGCCCCAAAGGTTCCTAGTACATTAAGCAGGAACCAGATCCAGATCCAACTGAGAAGGCCCAGCCTTCAAGCTTCCTGCCACCTTCCCATCACCTCTGCCCTCTCCCCAGGCACACAGAGTTAGAGACCCACACGGTGGTCCTAGGGCTTTATTTACAAAAGTAGAAGGTTCTTGCTCAGCTATATACAGGGTCAAGGCCAGGGAGGTGCAGACACAGCCATTTAAATTACAGTGGAATGGGGGCGGGCTCCCTAGGTTTGGGCTGCAGGTCAGTCCACTGGAGGCCTCTGCAGGGATCACGGCTGAGGCTGCAAAAAAGGGAGTGAGGGAGTGAGGGACTGGCTGGACCCTGGGGTCTCTGGAAAGGGAAGAGTGAGGCTGCAGCTGCCCTCCACCCACAGCCAGGGGACTTGGGGGGCAGGCAGGCAGGAGCTGGGAGCAGAGGGCCGTACCATGGCCACCTCAGGACCTGCCCAGCTCACTTCCTCTTGAGGGATCCCTTGCTCTTCTCCTTGTCCGCCGACCGCTGCTTCTTCACCTTTTCTTCCTTCTTGTTCTTACCATGCAGGTTCTCATACAAGTCTTCCTTGTGTCTGCAGGTGGACAGCAAGCACAGGCAGTTGGAACAGGTCAGGAGACAGTGCACAGTGCCCAGCACCTGCCACCCCTAGGCTGCCCATCTCACAGGTGAGCCACCTGCGGCCAGGAGAGTGAGGAGACCTGGCCACTGTCATCACACTGGTGTAGGTGCTCCCTCGGGGCAGAGGCTCCCCTCAGGTGTTAGTAGACTTCAGAACTTAGCCCAGCCCCAGGGACCGGGCACTCGGGAAATCCTGTGACTACAGGGAGCAAGAACCAAGCTTGCACTTGAACCCGGGTCTCCCCCAGCAGTACTGTCCTCTCAGGAGAGGGTCAGGCAGGGGAGGAGAAAGGCGCAGATGCTGGGAGATGGCAGGCAGAGGTCACTCACTTGGAGGAGGTGCGTGAGGCCTTGGCATGAGCATTCTTCATGGCTGGGGGGTAGGTGATGTTCCCGTACTCTGACTCCTGGCCTTTCTGGGACTGAGCAGAGGCATGGTGGGAGGGCGGGGTCCCGGCAGGACCAGGTGATGCCTACTGCCTCCTGCCGGCCCACCAGGCCCTGCTCTACACGTACCTGCATGACCTCCAGCTTCTTCTTGGTGGTTTCAATAAACTGGGCAATGGCCACATAAATGAACTTGTACTGCGCCTCCGTCTGCACCATGCCCGAGCGCTGGGCACGCACCATCTGGATCGTCTTCTGGATGTCGATGTCACAGTCCAGCCCTGGGCAGGCATGACAGTTGGACTGCAGGTCCAGAGAGGTGGTCCCAGGGGCCCCTCTTCTCCCACCCTGCGGGCCCCCCTTACCCTTGGTGGAGATGCTCTCCATGAGCATGTCAATGACAATGATGGTGCCTGTGCGGCCAATGCCCGCGCTGGGGAGAGAAGGAGGCACCATCAAGGCCCAGCACAAGCCTCCCCTTGGGGGAGTCCCCCACGCACAGCTCTAGCATGGGACGCACAGGGAAACTGCCCAGGCTCCCTGGGCAGGCAAGCCAGGGACAGAAGTGTCCAGCTCTGCTCTCTGCTCATCACTTCAGCCAATGGATTTGCGGGGAAGAGCCTGGTTCTCAAGCACAGGCTGCTGGCTGCCCCCACTTCCACCATGGCTTTCTTGCCAACACCACAGTCCTCACCTCCTGCTATACCCTCATTCCTAGCTTGGGCTGCTCCCCACCCCAGAAAATCCAGGACCCCGACCCCCCACCACCACCGTCCTGCCTGCTCCCCAGGCTCACTGGGCCTCCCTGGCCCTCTCCCCACCTCTCCAAAAACTTCATCTGGATCTTCTTTCTGCAGGGCTTCATTTTCCTTTTTATGCAGACCCCACTGTCAGGGAAAGGGCAGCCCTGAGACAGCTGGGTGGGGGGCGTGGGGTCAAGAGGAGCTGTGTAGTAGTGTTTCCATGCTGCCCCTCCTGCCACCACCCTTGGGCAAACAGACCCCAGGAACCCTAGGACTGCACACAGACCCCAGTCCCCACCCTCGGCTGGGCCTGGCAGACTGGTGCCCTGAATGGTGCTGTCTAATTTCAAACCCAGATTGTCAAAAATAACCCCCCCGCACCCACTTCCTTCCTGTAATGTCTAAATAAAGGCCATGGGGATTTCAAGAAGTGTATGTGGAAGGGGGCAGCAAAAGGGTCGTTCTTGCCGACGCGCCTGTCCCCGGAGGCCTAGCGGAGTCCCTGAGACAGCCTCCAGACCCAGCCCACCCGGCCCTGCCCCAGGACACATGGCCACTGGTGGGCAGGAGGAGGAATTCCAGGCCATCCCAGCCCAGGGATCACAGGGAAGGGAAGGGAAGGGAAGGGAAGAGGACAAAGCAGGTTCCCATTCCCTGTTCCCTGCCAGAGGTGGTATTAAACCATTAACAGCCCCCATTTCTTGAGGGATGACTGTATTAGACTATAGTATTGATGTCTCATTTATCCCTTAAGACAGACCTATGAGATCCTGATTTTATAGATAAGGAATCTGAGGCTCAGGGAAGTAAAGTAATTTGTCCAAGATCACACAGCCCATGAAATTAAAGAGCTGGTTTAAACTGGCAGCCTCTGTCCAGTAACCTGTGCCCACTGCCTCCCGCCCACCTGGGCCAGGCCAGCTGGGTAGGCCCATCTGTGGGATTCTGCCCCTCAGACCTGAAGGGGCCCCTGCTCCTCCTTGCTGATGCCACCTCCCCCACTTAGCAGGAACGAACAGGGTCTCCTGATCATGGGCGGGGGTCTCCAGTGCAGCCAGTAACACACATGCCCTTCCTGAAGACACCCATCCCTACTCAGCCCTGGGAGCCAACCTCGGGGACACTGGCTGGGAAGGGCGAGGCACAGGCAGCGGTGAAGGAGCCTCAGCCCACTACAGGGCTACAGATGGTAAGAGAAGGGATGGGGAGCCATGCTGACCCTGGATGGAAGGTGTTGGATGCCAAGAAGACACACAGGCTGCATCTCCCTGAGAAAACAGGCCAGGACCCAGGGCCACTACAGTGCAGGCTCTCCCAATGACCAGCTGGTGAACGGGCAAGTTGCCGGGCCTGTTTCCTCATCTGTGTTTGGCAGGGTTGAACGAGATGGTGCATCAGGGACATCTCTTAGGAAGCCACCCCGGGCACAAGATCCGACAGTGGAGCCAGTTCCAGTTAAGTCCACCCACGGGTCTGGAGCCATCAGGGAACCCAGGGAGGGCCGGGGGTAAGGAGGCACTGAACCAGTTAACATGTAAACTGCTTACAGTAGTGCCTGACAGGCCTTAGCCATGTTTCCTTTCTAGCAGCGTTTGTATTATTGCTACAATGTCACTATCGTCATTCTTACCTGCAATGCACGATGATGGGCCCCGCGTGAGGCAGACTTTCCTGCCGCTGGTTGATCTGGTCCAGGAAGCTGAGGACACCCCCAGGCTCACTGGGGACTCCATGGTCAGGCCAGCTCAGGTACTGGTAGTGCCAGATCTCCCGAACCAGATCCCCCTGGGCCAAAGGCAGAGGGTCAGTGCTCCTGCGCCCACACATCACCCCTTTCCACCCAACCACAGAACAGTCCCAGGAGGGTCCCTGGGCATGGGGACCCTTACATTGTCCAGTGGGGAGACCTGTAAGGTGCGGAGTTTGTACTCAGCAGTGTCGTGTTCCCTGCAGTTGGTGACAGCATAGGGCCCATAAACACGCTGAGAACCCACCTCTGGCCAGTACGGGACACACTTGTTCTGAAAAGGGAGGGTGGAAGTGGGGATGAGCACAGAGGCAGGGTGCAGGGCCCAGCGTGGGCCCAGTTCCGGGTCCAGAGTCTCTGGGGCTGGCCCAGTCAGCCTCTGTTGGATGAATGGATGAACTGGCCGCATCAAAGACTTAGGCTCTGTTCTTGGGTCAGCCACCAACAGGTGGTGAGGCCTGACCAGCCACTTAACCTTACAATTTCTTCAACAAATGTGGGCTGGCACACGCCCTGTAGCTGAAGCTATGCAAACCAAGGCAGAGTTAGACGCAAACAGATGCACACTGTGCCCCTGGCCCAGAAAATGAGCTTATGCGGCCATAAGTGTTACAGGGAAGCCACCAGGCCTTTGGTGCAGTCTTGCATGTGAATTTATCCTGAAGGCGACTGGAGCCATGGCAGGTCATCAGGAGGGAGCGAGCTGGTGCTGAGTGTGCTTT